CAAAGTAGCGCCTGCAGGGATGCAGGGAGTATGGCAAAGAGACGCAGCGTCTCATTCCCTCGGGGAACCATGGTTACATACGTAACCTAGAGACGTTCCCCTTCAGGAACTCGAGCTGCGTCGAGTTGCTTTGGGAACGAGAATACCCACTGCGCCATACTACCAAGTCCCTGCCTGTGTGTGTATCCTATGAGCACATCACGAAGAGAGAACTTGGGAACCTGGGGTAGAAGCCAGGTCTAGGTTGTAAAAGCAGACAAAAGTGTGTGGAGAGGACCAGCCCGCCACAGCACAAATGTCCTGCTGTTCGAAAGCTGACCGTGCATGCTTCGCTCCTAAACAAACGACACACAAATCGTGTGTATCCCCCGCCGCCAGATATCGTGGGCAGGGAGAAACACAGCGTTTGTAATGCCGTTCGCTCGCCATAGCTTTCTCATTGTTTTATATACTGTATATGAGTGCTTGTGCGGACAGACAACAGTAAATAGACAGACACATAAACAGGGCGCTACTGAAGGGCAGAAGCAGGTTTGCGCCCTGCCGGATGCGCTTTTATGCTTTCTGGTGCTTACGTCACCCTGCTCGTGACGTCTCGCTGCTCCATTGGACGGATTTGACACGTGCTTCAGAACGCGGTCACGCAAGGGCGTTCCCAAAGCGACTGGACGCAGCTCGAGTTCCTGAAGGGGAACTATAGGTTGTTGATTCTGACTTATTTAATTTATTTATTTATTTATTTTTATCAGAAGGGTATATTCTGTTCTAATTTAATTATGTAAATCATTTTTTTATTGTTTTCGTTGCAACGATGTTGCTCTGTACTTAAGAGCGTGCTCGCACAGGAAATGAAAATTTATAAAAACATTTTGGATAAAATTATCCAAAATGTTTTTATACATTTTCATCTGAGGAATCGTTTTCCGAGTTGTTTCTGTGTGCAAAGGGAAATAAAAGTTGTCTTACCCACTTGTTGAATCTGATTCGCCTATGTAAATCCTTGTTCCCTAATCGTGACAGCCCTATTCACAATACCCAGAACAGTCCCTTTATTTAACTGCAGCAACATGTGCTAATTCATATGATTAAACCACTTCTGAGCAGAAGTATATAAAAACTTCAATAAAAGCAAGAAATTGGTGCATTTACCATCAAGCACCTTTAAATAGTCCTTCAGAATAATCAAACGCTAGGATCAAGTTCTCTCATTTGAAAAATACAGATATACTAGCACACACTCGATGTTCCACTGAGCTACTTGAGAAGGTGAGGGGATTGTGGGTAAAGGATTTGTAGTGGGTCACAAGTAGGCGACAGGAGATCTACATGTCCTTCAGAAATGCATCTATGGTTACTCACTACTAATGTTAATGTCTGTGAGTGGGGATGCCACCAAGAGCCTCTTGTGTAGAAGGAGACTTGATTGACATGCAGAAGCTCTTTGCTTGTCAGATTATAACTCATGGGAGTGGGGTGTTGGTGTTGATTTACACATTTATTCATGAAAAGTGTCATAGATGTGTGCAAACCAATGGTTGTCTGTGTGTTTCAGTGTGTCTAAAAGTGTAACTGTAGACAGATAGATAAAACGTATCTTCTGGGGTTTGAAATGTTGAAACCTGATAACCTATTTATTCTTCAGCCAGGATGTGGATTGCATTTATTGTCGTTGTGGATTTTGTGACGTGTTTAAGTTACAGGTATCAGATCAAAGTCTTTAGAGTGACAATCAGTTTGGTGATGATTTCATTGTGACTCTCAAAATAAGAAATGAAAAAATGTGTCTTGAGGCACTTCTGTGGTTCTTTGGAAAACATGAACTGGTGCTTCAAAGAACCTAGATGTCACTCTTCCGACAACAGTCTGCGCTGTGCCTCGGCAACAGCGGGACCGCTGCCAGCGGGATCGCGAGCCTGGCCGCTCTCATCAAACGCAGCCAGGTGAGAGCGGAGCGTGCGCAGCGAGAGCTCGCAGTGATGACAATCAGCTGTTCGAAAGCTGACCGTGCATGCTTCGCTCCTAAACAAACGACACACAAATCGTGTGTATCCCCCGCCGCCAGATATCGTGGGCAGGGAGAAACACAGCGTTTGTAATGCCGTTCGCTCGCCATAGCTTTCTCATTGTTTTATATACTGTATATGAGTGCTTGTGCGGACAGACAACAGTAAATAGACAGACACATAAACAGGGCGCTACTGAAGGGCAGAAGCAGGTTTGCGCCCTGCCGGATGCGCTTTTATGCTTTCTGGTGCTTACGTCACCCTGCTCGTGACGTCTCGCTGCTCCATTGGACGGATTTGACACGTGCTTCAGAACGCGGTCACGCAAGGGCGTTCCCAAAGCGACTGGACGCAGCTCGAGTTCCTGAAGGGGAACTATAGGTTGTTGATTCTGACTTATTTAATTTATTTATTTATTTATTTTTATCAGAAGGGTATATTCTGTTCTAATTTAATTATGTAAATCATTTTTTTATTGTTTTCGTTGCAACGATGTTGCTCTGTACTTAAGAGCGTGCTCGCACAGGAAATGAAAATTTATAAAAACATTTTGGATAAAATTATCCAAAATGTTTTTATACATTTTCATCTGAGGAATCGTTTTCCGAGTTGTTTCTGTGTGCAAAGGGAAATAAAAGTTGTCTTACCCACTTGTTGAATCTGATTCGACTATGTAAATCCTTGTTCGGGGACACCCCTAATCGTGACAGCCCTATTCACAATACCCAGAACAGTCCCTTTATTTAACTGCAGCAACATGTGCTAATTCATATGATTAAACCACTTCTGAGCAGAAGTATATAAAAACTTCAATAAAAGCAAGAAATTGGTGCATTTACCATCAAGCACCTTTAAATAGTCCTTCAGAATAATCAAACGCTAGGATCAAGTTCTCTCATTTGAAAAATACAGATATACTAGCACACACTCGATGTTCCACTGAGCTACTTGAGAAGGTGAGGGGATTGTGGGTAAAGGATTTGTAGTGGGTCACAAGTAGGCGACAGGAGATCTACATGTCCTTCAGAAATGCATCTATGGTTACTCACTACTAATGTTAATGTCTGTGAGTGGGGATGCCACCAAGAGCCTCTTGTGTAGAAGGAGACTTGATTGACATGCAGAAGCTCTTTGCTTGTCAGATTATAACTCATGGGAGTGGGGTGTTGGTGTTGATTTACACATTTATTCATGAAAAGTGTCATAGATGTGTGCAAACCAATGGTTGTCTGTGTGTTTCAGTGTGTCTAAAAGTGTAACTGTAGACAGATAGATAAAACGTATCTTCTGGGGTTTGAAATGTTGAAACCTGATAACCTATTTATTCTTCAGCCAGGATGTGGATTGCATTTATTGTCGTTGTGGATTTTGTGACGTGTTTAAGTTACAGGTATCAGATCAAAGTCTTTAGAGTGACAATCAGTTTGGTGATGATTTCATTGTGACTCTCAAAATAAGAAATGAAAAAATGTGTCTTGAGGCACTTCTGTGGTTCTTTGGAAAACATGAACTGGTGCTTCAAAGAACCTAGATGTCACTCTTCCATAGCAATGATACTTAGAACCTGTACAATGATCTGAAGGACTTCTGAAGTACTGAAACATGGAGAAATGTTTTTTTAAAGAGGCATACTGCCTCAATCTCAAGAACCCAATAAAAGTTATTTTAAAAGGAATAGTTCACAAAATTGAAAGTTTGTCATTATTAACCCTCATTTACTCAAAAAATAATATAAAATCAAATAAAAGCTAGTTTCCTAATCTAGTTGCCTAATAAACCTAGCATTGCCCAAAATGCATACTTTTGGCGCTTTGACGAATTGCTAAATGCATAAATGTAAAAAAAATTAAGTTACAGGTATCAGATCAAAGTCTTTAGAGTGACAATCAGTTTGGTGATGATTTCATTGTGACTCTCAAAATAAGAAATGAAAAAATGTGTCTTGAGGCACTTCTGTGGTTCTTTGGAAAACATGAACTGGTGCTTCAAAGAACCTAGATGTCACTCTTCCATAGCAATGATACTTAGAACCTGTACAATGATCTGAAGGACTTCTGAAGTACTGAAACATGGAGAAATGTTTTTTTAAAGAGGCATACTGCCTCAATCTCAAGAACCCAATAAAAGTTATTTTAAAAGGAATAGTTCACAAAATTGAAAGTTTGTCATTATTAACCCTCATTTACTCAAAAAATAATATAAAATAAAATAAAAGCTAGTTTCCTAATCTAGTTGCCTAATAAACCTAGCATTGCCCAAAATGCATACTTTTGGCGCTTTGACGAATTGCTAAATGCATAAATGTAAAAAAAAAATTTTAAATCTATCAGCTTAAACAGTAGAGCATGGTGCTAACCACACTAAGGCCATAGGTTTAATTCCCAAGGAAAGCAAGAAGTGAAAAATCTGTACCTTGAATGCAATATAAGTTGTTTTGGATTTTTTTTTTAATGCTCCCAAATGCATAAATCTAATGTAAATATACGTATGAACTCTGGAAGGCATAATTCAATTAACAAGTTTAAAAATAACCAGAAATCAATAGATGGTTAATGCATTTCCCCATTGTATTCACATTTTTTAAAATTTGTTTTATTTTATATTTATTTATTATTTTGCTATTATGAAAATGAGTACTATAGAAATTGTACAATTTATCTTTGGTGTTCCACAGAAGACAGATTTGCATCAACGTGAGAGTGAGTAAATGATGATAGAATTCTTATTTTGGGTAAATTATTCCTTTAGGACTATGACTGTGCTAAACCTCTAATACTCCTCCATGTAAATATAAACATACATTTATAACTGCATTTATAATTTTCATATTCCAGATGACTTGGTAGCACATAATCATCTTTATTAGATACACGTATCATTTGATTGCGTGGGTGCTCTGTCATTGTATTAATTAGCTATTTATTAGTCATGTTAACTGCATTGACTTTGATATTAAAATAAAATAAATTTTAGATTTACACTTATACTCACAGTTCTATGGCCTTGTTCCACATGATGACATATCCAGATAAAATGAAGGATTCGATGTTCACTATGTGTGTATTTCCACGTTCTGTCCCCACGTAAAGCCACTTACTTTGAAACGGAAGATGACAAAATGTGATCCTAAAAGAGAGATGAAAAGAAGAGGAATCATATTTGTGAAAGAGAGAGGGAGAGAAGAGTTAACACAGGATATGTTGGCATCATATTAAAGTATGCAATTAATATCTCACTATATAGAACCAGCAAGCCAATAATGACCATTGTAACTAATATACTTCAAGATTTTGATTCATATGCACGCACAACAATCATATTTTATCCAATTACATAGCAGCCAGTCACCATTTTCTTCAGAAAGCTGCAGATGTAATTACAAAACCCTATAAGAGTGTAATGGGCATTATTGTACATATATTCATTACCAGAATAGACAGGAAACTGTACAAAAAAACTAAATAATTACAAATGATGTATGTGTAAGTGTACCGTTCTGCTCAAACTCACATTTTTCAACATGTCCTTGCTAATCATTTGAACTAGGGTTGAACTGTTAATTAAAATCTGAATCACAAAATGGCCTTGTGTGATTATTAAACTGGAAAAAGGCTTCAACTAAATGAAATAAATATATGGTATGCATGCAGTGTGGGCTTCAAAGTGAAGGGGCGGTGCTTTATTTTGTCTCTCGACTATTACACAAGCACACATGGGCCTCACGGTAGGATGTTTTCACATTCTGCTCATTTCAATGGTCTCATTGCATGTTGGCAATAGATGAATGCTGTGCACAAACTCCATCACTGCAGGTGGTTGAGTTTGCTTCCCTTTAAATCCGTGGTGTAGTCTGCTTGTAATGTGCATGTGCAAAACAGTCTAGGTAAACATTCATGTAATTCCAAAATTTTTGTTGTTGTTGTGAGTTACTTTACAAACCTGGCAGGGACGAGTCTCTCTGTCAGGTTTGTAAAGTAACTCTCACCAACAAAACACCATGCAAACATCAAAATTGCTTATTTATTCTTTGGAAACTGTAATTATTTTCAGGATTATTAAATGTTTAGAAAGTTCAAATGAAGTGCATTTATAAAAAGAGCACTCTTAAAATATAAATATTTTATAACATTATAAACAAGAGTTATATGAACAGAGTAGTTGACAGCATTTATACAGATCATCAAAACAAAACAAAACAAAACAAAACAATTGTCAACAACTGTCAATCTTTCTCCAGATCAACAAAACAAAACAAAAAGCAACAAAAACAAATCAATTGTCAACTGTTATCAACAAGTGTCAGCTGAGTTGACAGCATTTCTACAGATCATCAAACACAAAACAAAACAATTAATTATTCTTTAAAAAATGAAATTAACAACCACAAGAAATGTGTCTTGCTGAACCACACTGAAGGCCAGTTCATTATCTTCTCTACAAAACACCATGCAAACAACAAAATCCAACAGTTATTGTTTTATTTAGCACATATTTATTGTACATAGACCAACATTAAAAAAACACCACAGACAGAAAATCCTGTGTGAACAACCCCTAAATCTACACCTTAGTTTATCTTTATCGTCAGTTTAGTCTTATGGAAATAAATTGACATCTAAAATACACTTTTTGTACAATCTATTCAATGCTGTCTTAAATGATCTTCATGTGGGGGTTTCCGTCAGCAAATATTGATAAACAATACGTAATTGTGAAAAATACGATTATTTTAATTCATGAAATAAATGTTATACTTTTTTTTTAATCAGAGACAAATCTTGAAGTCATTCGTGTTCAGAGGCAGTGATTCATAGCTCTCTGTGGTTCTCTGTTTCTTTAGCAGTTGGAAGTAACACTTCTCACACTTGTTCATGCAGTTGCCTGGTTTGGCTCTGCTCTAGGGCTCATGCCAGTCAAACGTCAGCCCCTCTTGGGTACACTTGTGTGTATTTTGGGATGCAACAATTAATTGGAACACGATTACCTCAAGACAAACTAGAGCTAATGAGACATGAATGAGATGAGAGTGACACTGACTCTTAGATTTTAACATGTGTTTTTAAATAGGTTTCTTATTCCTAATGATGCAATCTAGACCATTCAACCCTGCATTGTCTATTCTAGAAAACAACGTATATGACAAAATTATTCTCCCCACGCTGGTGTGTTTGTGTGTTTATTTTCATAGCATGCCACTGTCTCTCCAGTGTCATCAAAAGGTTAAAAGAAAAGAGTAAGATTATATTTGCCTGATGCTTACTACGTTAATTGCAAAATAATTACGAAATTAGGCAGACTATTAGCACTCTGATTTATCTCTGCTACTGTCACAACAGAAACTCTCCAGGGAATGTGTCTAATATCACGCCACATATTTCTACACATGTAAACAGTGCTTAGCATTAAAAATGAGGTGAGCACTTCTTATTCTTAATGCTGAACATGATATTTTATGTTTTCATTCATTAAATATTATATGTGGCTAACTGTGGCTCTCTAAAATGTCAACTCCTGGCTCATCCAGTGCTGGGAGTTTGGGGCAAGATTACCTGTTTGTCCAAAAAAAGTATTTTTAAAAGTCTTGATAATATGAAGTATCCAGTGAGTAATTATGAAAATGATCAATAAAACTATCACATATCCAGGGTCTGTTTAAGACTTCATGCTGAAATCCATCCAGTGGCATCATCAATCATCCTTATAAGCAGGTTAACTAGAAAATAAAGACCAGCACACGGTAATTCACTGCTGTCCACACTCATCACATCTCTCTCTGTTTTCCTCCCCTCACGCCCCTGGGGTCCTCAGACAGTCGGGGTGATTGGAAATGAAGGTTGCGAGATGCTGGACAGACAGCTAAACTTGTCAGGGATAGAATGCTAATGGAGCACCTGGCCATGCTAATGTGTGGTTTTCTGTTTCTGATTGCAACACATGGAAAACCCAGATTATAAAATGATCACCAATATTGGTGATTAATGGCATTCAGGGAGCAACTGTTTTAAAATGCTCTTTTGTTGGTTTGTGGATAAGTAATTTAACCCATTGTAGCCCTCTGAGGCAGCCAAGGTCAAAACCACACAGTCCAAAAGAGATGTGGATGTGTCTGATTGGACAAAAATCAGTGCAGTGCTGGATAAATATTTTTTCCTGTTTTTCAGATCTGTTTGCTAGAAAAAGAGAAAGTGGAATTTAAGTATGTAAACTACCATCCAAATTTTGGGGTCAGTAAGATTTAAGATGTTATTCAGGAAGGAGGCATTCAACAGATCGAAAGTGTTATTTTTTTTTTATTATCTTTTTAACTTTCTAAAAAATGTATGGTTTCCACAAAAATAATCAGCCCAACACTGATACTTCAACATTGCCAATAATAAAAATGTTTCTTGAACAGCAAATCAGCATTTTAGAATGCTTCCTAAAAAAATAATGTGACACTGAAGACTGGAGTAATGGTTGCTGAAAATTTAGCTTTGCATTAGAGGAATAAATTAAATTTTACATATAATACATATAAAACAGTTATTTTACATTGTAATAATATTTCAAAATAATATTTAATATTGTAATAATATTTCATTACTTCTTTCAAAAACATTAATGGGGTCATATGATGCGATTTCAAGTTTTCCTTTCTCTTTGGAGTGTTACAAGCTGTTTGTGAATAGATAAGATCCCTAAAGTTGCAAAGACTAAAGTCTCAAACCCAAAGAGATATTCTATTTAAAAGTCAAGACTCGTCCACGCCCTCCTAAAACACCTCGTTTAAACACATCCCCACATGTCTATGTCACAGTGTGGGAAGATTTGCATAACACCGCCCAAATGTTTACGCAAAGAAAGAAGGCGTAACTTTGATTCTCGCTGTAGTATTGCTGCTGCCATGTCGTGAAGACGCTGTGTTTTGTTGCGAAAGTGAAAATACTTCACAATTAGAAATCACAATTAGAAATCAGCGGTTAAGTTGTATTTACAACACTGTTCCAGAACGGTTCAAACCAAATATTTGTGTGTGTGCAACGCATTTTACGGAGGGCTGTTTCCTTAACCTGGGAGAGTAGACTACAATGCTGTCTGTTCTGACTCACAGCCTATAAGTATGTTTTCATATTTAAAGAATTTGCCACTGACTATTCAAACATGAGTTTTGAGCAGTGTAGAGTAGCGCTTGTTGTTTGTCATTTCTCCGATCACAAATGCAGGCATGGTTTTATGTTTATGCGTAAAAAGACAGTATAAGTCATTATAATCAGTAATTATGTCCCCACTGGATGCAACAAATGCCTCGTTTATAATGGGTTTTATTGGTTTTGTCTCGTCGCACCGGGACACGGCATCACAGTATGGTAAGGGGCGTAACACTTCCGTCACACGCTTGAGGTATTCGGCCAATCACAACGCACTGGATAGCTGGCCAATCAGCGTACACCTCGCTTTTCAGAACAATGAGCTTTGTAAAAATTGACGCGTTTCAGAAAGGCGGGGCATAGAGGAGAAACAATAATGTACAGTATGTGGAAAATAATGAGTTTTGAACCTTAAACCACAAACATTTCATTACACCAAATACACAAAATAATGTTCTTTTTTAGCAACGTCATATGACCCCTTTAAAAAATAAAATCTTAAAGACCCCCAAATTTTGAATAGCACTATACGTCTGCTAAAAGTAATTTTTGTCAACATTTAAGATACATTTCAAAAGGCACCACTGAATGACTCCAAACTTCCACATAGTTTTGTTCTGCATAGTTTGGGCTAAGCATGCCTTGAATACAAATGTCAGATGAATTGATCAGCTAAAACAGAACGTCACAGGACTACACAATTCTGTTGTGCGATGAAAGTGTCTTGTATTTTTGCGACAGACAAGCATGCTGAGTGTCTTGAATCAGTCTTATAGCCCCCCTGAGTCTCTCTCCTGACCCTGCTGAGCTGAAAATCTCTGTCATCTGACACAGCCGTGCACGAAAGTATGCACCCAACCGTGTTCACACACACACTCAGACAGGCACCTACTGATCTGAGAAAACATTTCTCATTACATGTGAATTTGCATAATTTTAATAAAGCCAAATATAAAACACTTCAGGGTCAAAGCACACACATAAGATAGAAGAAATCCCTGTCAATGAGTGTGAAACTGTCACGGTGGGAGAAACCATGACTTTATTTGTTTGTTCCAGACGGTCTGATGAGGTGATGAACACAATCATCAGTTATTACGGAGGGGAACAAAACTCATTAGCCATACCAAGAAAACACAGAGCGTAGAAAAATCTCTATCACACACCACCTCAAGCTTTCAGGCTTCGGATGAATATGAACCAAAACTTTAACAACAATGTTAATGTTATATTTTAAGTTCTGTTGCACAATATGCTCTATGACACTCATTAATCAGGCTTCTCAGTTTGATGCCGATCTAATGCTTGTGTCCCATGTGGTTTCTGAGTATTATAATCGATCATAAAGACTTCACAGTGTGAAAAATGTGTCAAAAAAACAACAATGGTCAAATATACACTAACAATTGAAATTTATGGATTTGGTTCGATTTTGATCCAATGAATCGGATCAAACTTTCATTTGAATTTTAATCAGGCTTCTCAGTTTGATGCCGATCTAATGCTTGTGTCCCATGTGGTTTCTGAGTATTATAATCGATCATAAAGACTTCACAGTGTGAAAAATGTGTCAAAAAAAACAACAATGGTCAAATATACACTAACAATTGAAATTTATGGATTTGGTTCAATTTTGATCCAATGAATCGGATCAAACTTTCATTTGAATCAAACTCAATCAAATCAAATGAGGTGTTTACATGAAGGATTTTCAGTCTGATTGAGCCATCAATCCGATTACTAATGGCTCATTTGGTTGCATGTAAACAATTTTTAGCGCAAAAAAAACTAATTTAGTAAACATTTCTCATGACTGTTTTCCCACCCTCTATCTGACCCTGACAATTATACTGATCTCTTTTTTATGCTGTGCCTTTAAGACTTCAATATAAACACCCTCATTGTATATGAAATATTAACAGCTCTGTCCTGCGCTCTCACACAAGCCGCAGGTTTGTTGTCGGATCCAACATAGCCTCACTGCATTGTGACATGTTCACGAAACAACAAATGATCGTGCTGCTAGAATGCTAAAGTATCATTATGAGTATTCATCATCAATCTGGTATCAAATGCATTTGTTGAGGGTAAATCCGTTAACTTTCTCTCTGGATCAAACATCACAAAAACATTTCCTCCTTTTATTCTTTCTTTCCTGTTCCACGGCAATCAATGCAGTGATAAGAAGCCACATTTGGACAAGGTCCTCTTACACGTCAAGTGATTAGGTGGTGAAGGAATCAACAAAATAAAAAAGAAAGAAAGAAAGACTGTTCATGACTCTCTCTTCAACTCGCTCAAGGTCTCTCTGTTTGTACAGTTTCTCTGCTAAAACTTCCTGAAAGGTTTCTATACTTCTAAACAACTCCAAGAGGCCATTAACCATAATGCAACTGTCACATTTCACAGCTCTGAATGAGAGCGACATTTATTAGAGCTGACCCGGAGTCATTCAACAAGGGAAATAGAGTAACAAAAGCCACATTAGTCATACCTAGTGGGTCAGTTTCCATTACGTGAATAGTGCACAGTTTGAGAAGCACAGTCATAAGTCATAAGAAAATTAAATAAGGGCTTAAACTACTGAGTTATGCTCAGTAGTTAAAGATCTCATTAAATGTTTAACAAATCAAATTTCCATTTCAATGTCAACATTTTTCCAACTAAAATAGGTTGCTACCTTTAAAGGGATTGTTCATCCAAAAATAAAAATTCTTACATTAATTACTCACACTCGTCGTTCCAAACCCATAAGAGCTTTGTTCATCTTCGGAACACAAATTAAGATATTTTTGGATGAAATCCGAGAGCTTTCTGACCCTCCCATAGACAGAAATGCAACTACCACGAGAGTACCATGACACATGTGGTGTTGCTGACGCAGGAGCCAGTGTTCTGACGTAGAACCCGGATGCGGCTTGTTTGCAAGCAGAATAATTCACACGCATGCACCATGGTACTCTCATGAACGCACAGTAAAGACTGACATGGAAATTGGAAGAAATTGTTGAATAAAGTCATTGTTTGTTTTCTTTGTGCACAAAAAGTATTCTCGTAACTTTATAACATTACGGTTGAACCACTGATATCACATGAACTATTTTATCGATGTCCTTACTACCTTTCTGGGCCTTGAGCATGTCAGTTACATTGCTGTCTATGCAGGGTTCAGAAAGCTCTCGGATTTCATCCAAATATATCTTAATTTGTGTTCCGAAGATGAACAAAGGTCTTACGGGTTGGGAACGACATGAGGGTGAGTAATTAATGACAGAATTTTCCGTTTTGGGTAAACTATCCCTTTAAGGCTGTTACAAACTGCTCCAACAAACACCTACATATGGAAACATTTTAAGTGCTTATTTTATAGAAAATTATATCATACATGTATTTATAAAAACATGGTTTTTTTTGGTTTTCATGTGGTCTTTAAGATACCTAAAGGTATGAAAATGTGTAATGTAGGGTAGCATAGTAAGGTTAATGCTATATTTTTTATGATGGATTTATCTTTCTTTTTCTTTTTTTATAAATACTGTATTGTGCCCATTGCATTTTTGAGAAGAAAATCCTCACTACTTGCTCAGAAATAAACCAGAAGAGAGAAGACAGGAGCTACAACATTTTACAATATTGAGGCTTGGCTTCAGCCTCTGCAGCCTTGAGCTATCCGTGTTTACTTTATCACATATTCATTCTGACCAATGCTCGGCAGCTTTGGACTGTCAGCAACTTCAAGTTGAAATATTGAGATGGATTCTCACTTTCAATGTAAAATTAAATAAAGAAAAATCTTCTTTTTTATGAAATCATTGGGAAGTTCATTTTTGACTTGATATATTATGTGTGCTATGTGCACATGCCTGAAAAACACAATCTTGTACTGTATATAAGCTCTACTCACCGCTCTCTGTTGAATTTGAGAGAGTGTAGGATAGCCGGACGTCGCTGTCGCAAATTCCAGAGATGCAGCGTATCGTCCGCACAAGCTGTGACCAGAGCCCCCTATGAACACATAAGTGTAACAACAACACTCAATCCATGCAATGAGATGGTAAGTTTACACCAATTTTAACAATCAAAGAAAGTTACATTAAATGTATGACACTTTAGACACACTTTTAGTTTTTTTTAGGTCTCAGTGGCACAGCTCGTGGCATCAGCCATTGTGCTTTTTCATGTGACAAAATATTATATTAAATAAGTCAGTTTTCTATTTGTGACCTAAAACATGCATTTTATATAATATTGAACCTAATAGCACATATGGAATTGAATTGTATGTCTAAAGTGTGTTTCCGTTTCCACTTCAATGTCCTAAAATTCTATGATGAGGAAAATTATGCAGTATATAATGCATCTTCCAGGTCACAAATGAAATAAGAATTTACTCATATAGTTGCTAGGAAATGATAAACCTTAATTTATTCTGTCACATCGATATGTTTCAGTCTGTATAACTTTGCTGTTTTCTCATGCATTTCATGCATATTTCATGATATTAAAGTCCTCCTTGGATAGAGACTGGAACAGTCTGAAGAGAGAGAATTACTTGCCACAAGTAATGCTGTGCTCTATGTATTACAAGACTCTGGATGGTGTTCATGGTTAATGGAGGAGAGAGAGGGAAGGGAGCAAAAAGTGATGAAAGTGTCTAAAAGTGTGAGTGTGAGAAATCTGACAATGTCAGGATGACAAAGGTCTTTCTGACCCATTTTATCTGGAAGCCCTTTATAATTTTGAAGTCAATATATCTAATTTTCTTTTCAAATGCTGGCTGCAATGTTCAGGCAGCAAATAACGCATGACAAACCTGGAAAAATGAATGGCATTTCATGTCGGGGATGAGAACATTTCAGTATTAATGTGAACTCGCTTTGTCAAATCACTGCCTAATTTGAGGGTAATCATGGGCCAGCAGGAAGTCTCTAAACACTTTATCTTCATGACTTTGTGAGTTTGTCTCCATCTTTGTTCTTTCTCAGTGCATTGAATCCAGATCCATCAGTCAGGTGACTGACAACTGTGTTTCCATGGAGATAATGTTTAGGTAAACACAGATTGCACCAGCACACCAAAGGACAAAAGCAGAGAAAAACAGATGTCGAGAGGGAATTTTAGTGTTGTGTCAAAGTCAATGTGAATTCACATTCGCGACCCATTATAATTCCGTAACATGATATTTTCCAAGTGAAATGGGATTTTCAAAAAGAAAATAAATTGTGCACTTCAGGATTTGGTTAGATGGTAAAAGTGAGTGTTGCACACAAAAATGGAACCAATTAAAAAATATTATAATAATAATATACTGTATACATATAAACTGGGATGAAATAAAATAAATTGATGAGGAAGTACTAAAATTTCTAAAACTATAACAAATAAAATAAAGCTAAATGTGCATATTAAAAAATAATTTAAAATGACAACAAAATGACTCAAACTTATAGAAGATTAATAAATATGAATAAATACTATAATAGTATATAAACAATATTAAAAATTACACAGATGAGAGTTTGCTATTTTGGCTATTGTCCTAGTCTGCATGGCCTAAGTGATGTCAGCAGGAAAGGGAATTTGTTTCAGAAGAAGATACAGTTGCAAAACAATCACATTTTTTCTTTGAATTAACATGCAATGATGAATATGAGCGATAGTGGAGAGTGTACCTAAATTGCTATAATCCAAAATGGCCACCATGGCAACTCTCCCACTTTCCCTCTTTTGTTAACGCACTAACTTCTCGTTATTCATGAGATGATGCAGCATGTGTGCATAAGAGCGAGACAGAGAGGCTGAGAAACATTCAGCACTTGACACGTCTGATGGGAAGTAATGACTGACTGCATTAACACCACAGGGCTGAGAGGGAAGGCGGCTCTTGACCTAAACGAATTCCTCTGCAGAGCCAAGCCTGCATTTACACACACATGCTGTCTATCCTAAACTACAGATTAAAACACACACATATGCACTTTGCCCTCCTACGTGATTTCTACATATGCTGCACACATGAAAATGTGCTGTAATATATGTGTGCCTGCAAGTGTGGGTGTTCGGTACCTCGTTGATGAGAAACTGCAGTTGGAGAACTGCCGCCCCACTCTCATGCTGGCAATGACAGTCCACTCCTGGCCGTCCCAGACTGATGACATCAGAGAGTTAAGGAAAAGAGGACAGTCATTTACAATGAAACTTTGATGCTTCAAGGTTGTACTTTCAACACTTTCCATACAGCAATAAAAGCTGGATTAAAACCGATAGACAGCATACCGACCCAAGTCAAAACTCTCTGAAGGACTATGCATGAAGTTTAAAAGCTCTAAAAAAACTCAAACCCAGTTTGGTGTGTGTGTGTAACAGAAAGAGAGAGAGACTGCAAATCTGTGCCACAAGCTAATGGACTCATAAAGTGACATTAAGAGCACTGACTACAAAATCAGCTCCTCACACTGTTTTAAACAGATCTTCCTGTAGGAATTTGCTTAATGATTTATCTCAACTGTCCACACACACACACACACACACACACACACGCAGCGATCGATCACAAGACAGACGGAAAGGGAAGAGCATGATGCCATTTGTCTCTCCTCTTATCTAAACGTGTGCACACAGCTGTGTCCGATCACTTCAAAAGACAGTAAAATACAGGTAATAACAAAGGAGGAAAATGCTTTCATGACTGATACAAGGTCAAATGCATCCAGTATCATTCAGACCACAAGCAGAAGTTTTTTATATAAATATCCACCTGTATAGTGTATATACTTTCTATTCATTAAAGAATCATAAAATAAAAATGTATGACAGTTTCCACAATAATAAACTGTTCTCAACATTGAGAATAATAAATGCTTCTTGAGCATCAAATCAGTATATTAAAGGGTTCATATGATGCTGCTAAAAAGAACATTATTTTGTGTATTTGGTGCAATGAAATGTGTTTATGCGGTTTAAGGTTCAAAAAACATTTTCCACATTACTGTACATTATTGTTTCTCCGCTATGCCCTGCCTTTTTGAAAAGCATCGATTTTTACAAAGCTTTGAATCATCAGTGGCAACGAAAAACACAGCGGCCTACTGTGAGGGGAAGCGTGTGCTGAGGCCGGGATAGACAACAATACTACAGCGAGAATAAAAGTTACGCCTTCTTCTTCACGACATGGCGGCAGCGGCAACAACAATACTACAGCAAGAATAAAAAAACATTTGGGTGGCGTTATGCAAATCTTCCCAAATCGTGACATAGACATGTGGGGGCGTGTTAGAACGAGCCGTTTTAGTTAGGCGTGGTTGACTTAACTTTTATAAAGAATATCTCTTTGGATTTGAGACTTTAGTCTTTGCAACTTTACAGATCTTCTTTATGCACCAAGAGCTTGTAACACTCCAAAGAGAAAGGAAAAATTTAAATCGCATCATATGACCCCTTTAAAATGATTTCTGAGGGATCATGTGACACTGAAGACTGGAGTAATGACTGCTGAAAATTCTGCTTTGCCACCTCACAAATGAATTTAATTTTAAAATATTTTGTTTTGTAATAAAAAAAATTTGCTGACTTTTTTCTGACTTAAGTTTCTTAGTTAAGAATATGGGTTGCAGCTCTTAATTTTTAACTCTAAAAGTGCATTAGATAGAATAATTTAACTTTAAAATGTACAAAATGTTAATTTTTTCCCAATTCTTCATTTGTCTTTTTTTTTTTAAATATCGCAATACATAACGTTTCGTGGACTTCATATTATCGCATCGTGAGATTTTGATATCATTACATCCCTAATATATTACAACCCACAAGGGTTACCCATTACAGGCCTACACCTAAACCACAAATATAAATGCACAGCTATAGTCTAGGTGACAACAAACAAGCTTGCAGTCTCGCATCCATCAAATAGTAAAAAAGCCTTTACATGAAATTATGTTAAAATAAATGCCTGCCAAATGCATAAATGTAAATGTATTATGATCCTTTGTTTTCAATCCGAGCACTCCCGGGCTAAAAGCCTGACGGTGTATACAAATTTGACAATACTAACTTCCTTTCAACTATACAAACTCTCTCCAAAGCATCACTGTCCATTGACATGTCAATGTACCAAAACATGCAAAATGATTGGCAGGCAGAGAGGCGCCTCCAAGGTTTTTTTCGGTATCATGCGTGGGCTCTGATTTGCTCAGATTTTTATTTATTTTTCTGTCAAAGAGACAGGTGTGATTTCTCAGGACTATCTAATATATTTCAGTGATATCTGTCAGGTAGCAGGTCATTTTATGCATGAACACAGGAACACATGAACTCGCTTTAAACACAGGATCCCAAGGCCATTAAACACAACAGAGCAATCAAACGGTCAAACATGCACTTTTATTTGCCCTTCTGTCCCGCTGCTGCTCACCCAATCACACAATCAAAAGTTCATACTGCACACTGAAGGAAAAAGACAGAACGTTCTAGAATAAACCCCTACATTCAATATGTGTGTGAGTGAGAGTTTGTGTTTTGAGGACGATAGGTCATAGGTATAATTGTTCTGCATGCTTGATTGGCTCTTAATTGCGCTTAGTTAAATTGTGTTCACAAACATGGGCGTTCAACCCACATGTTCAGAAATCAAGTTGTTCAGTAGTGCCTGGGATAGAAATCACCACTGAACACACACAGACCAATGCACAAACTCCAGATGAAACCATGTGCTTTATATATCGACTGCACAAATGGCTTGCTAATAAGGTGAACATCCACTCGCAGATAAACCACAGGCTCAACTCAGCTACACAGCCTCTATAAAACATCACTTTAGAGATTTTTTTCCCGTGCACCACCAAGTATTTTTAACCTTGTTTTTGAAGATTCTATAAAGCCTTGGTTATATTTAAGTATTTGACAGACATAGATTTCTAATGACTTGGTTGTATTTTAATGAAATCCTTGCATTTAATGCAATGCATTAACATTAATGTCAATGTATCTCTCTGTTAGCTTTTATTTATGACTTCCATCATCTTTTTTATCAGCTTACTTACTGTTAGCTTACCTACTTCTAATGTACGCAATTTAAAATGTATGTTAGGGCTTTACCCTATAACAATTACTGTATCATATTGATGGACACATTTCTAAGGCCTCTAAATAATAATAATACTTAATAAGGAAAAGGAAAGAAAAGCAAGGAAAAGGCCTTTTAGTATATCATCACTGTTTTGCATGTTAGTGACAACTGATATTTTTAGGCATTTATAAGCAGTCAGCTATATTATATGTTATAGAGATTTCATTGACTTACATTACAAGCTAACATAATTTAATCTTACTTTTTGGCCATATAAACATAAGCAACTGCACCAAATTACTTATTTTGCCTTGTTTGGGCCTTTCAATAAAACAGGGTTGTTTTTCCTTCGTCGAGTCTGAGCTCCATATATTTATCTAAAGGTTTAATAAACAGTTCCATTAAAAAAAAAAAAAAAAACGTATTATTTCAAATGTCAGAGTTTACAGGGTTGAAATACCAGTTTGCCAAGCTAACAGCAATCAAATAAAAATTCATTTCATTCATTAAAATCCATATGACCATATTGATGATCGAGCTGCTTCTTTCTACTTATAGTACGCTACGTATAGTTACGGATAGTTCACCCAAAAATTAACATTTTGTCATTCTTTTCTCACCAACATATTGTTTCAAACCTGTTGATTGTCAGTGATGATGATTGTCATTCTTCTATAACTAAAAGAATGTTAGGCAAATAAATGTATTGCATAGAAAACGCAAAAAAATATATTTACTGCTAAACTTTTTTGTGTGTAATAAAGAAGAAAGTCATACAAGTTTGGAACAACATGAGGGTAAACGATGACAGAACTTTCATTTTTGGATGATCTATTCCTTTATAGCTCCAGCCAAGACTTTACGAGGTTCAAAACTACCACTGAGAGATGTTTTGGTGGTAAACAGGTTGTTAGATTGATGTTTCCATTGTGAAACAAGGCTGAAAAGAAAGATACATGATTGATAGAGGAACAGGAGAAAGATGGAGTGAGTTAGGAGATGTTGAATAGAAAGACTGGTGACTCAGACCCTTAAAACACGGGATGGAGGAGCAGAGTTGAAACCTAGAGTGTCAGTGAGGCAGGAGGTGAAAGAGAGAAATGAGTCAGAGAAAGAGAGAGAGACTTTAGCAGGTTTAAAATGGTGACTCAGATTGAGTAGGACAGCGAGATTGAACAGAAGAGTTGAAATCTAATGGTGTCCATGTCATAAAAGCAACAAACACGCACACATATAAGGTGACGTTTCATGACTCATGCTGGATTTGCACAATTTATACACTCTCATGTCTATAGATTTTCCCTTCATTTTCCAACATTAATTTCTGTGTCATATTTTCCTACATTATTTTCTACTGTTCTCAGTTTCACCTGCACACACTGAAAAATCTCAGTCTCTGCTTCATTAAAGATCCCATTTTTAAATACATTTTGTGGCTTTTAGTCCATGTCTTTTAGCTTTCTGGTCAACTATACGCTAAATCAGCTGTCATACTGTCTGTAAGTGCACATATTTAAAAAATTTCACTCTTTCTCTTCAGAAAAAAAATTATGAAAAATTGAAGACTCACAACACAGATTTCTGTCCACAGAATAAAGTCATACGAGTTTAAAATGATGGTGAGTAAATGATGACAGTGGGTGAACTATTCAACCAAGACCCCAGAAATACATAATCCGAAGGTATAAGGCATGTCTGAAATGAACGTTTATGAATATCTCTCTTCATTGTCTGTAATAATATATTTTACAATCCACTATTATAAAATAATATACAATTCTTTTTTTAATGATCAATGATCAACTGAAAAAAAAAATGCAGCTGTGCAATCACAGGAATAAATTACACTTTTAAATATACATAATAATAAAAAAAAAACTTTTTTTTTTAAATTGAGAATGTGACAAATTGAAAAATGACAGTAGACACGACAAAGTACAGAAAAATGAACAAACAACAGCAACAACAAGAAAAAGGAATATACCCAAACCAAAGACATAGAATGTAAACATTTTCCACAGCCTTTCAATATATGATAAGGAGAGAAAGAATAAAAAAGTAACAATAATATTAATGTA